ACCTGATTAACTTAATTGATTTTAATTGCTTTTACACTAAAACTTACAATTTTCATTCATTTGTCAGGTTTAACATTCTTTTTAAATCATCTTCAAATATAAGTATTTTTTTTAAAAAAAACATATTCTTAAGGAGTCATATATCAAAAATGTCTAGTGATAGATTTGTGATGAGTATTTGTGTTAAAAACCTCTAGCTGTGTGGGTCTTGGTAGAATGTCGGTCATAGTTGGGGTTACCGGTATGTCCTACTGACAGTCCTTCCTGCCATATGGCACAAGAGGTTCTGTTTTCTATCAAATCTATGCCTCAAAAGAATATCTGTCAACATGTACAAGAAGTATAAAATAGTTACACGGAAATCAATGAATTAAAAATAAAATGGAAAAGCTATATTGACACTTACTAAAACTCCTTTTTTTTATAGAAAATGAAAGAACTTGATTACTTCATAGATATCTGGAAAAGGTTAATTTTCTTCATAATAGATTCATCACCAAACATTTGAAATACTGGAAAGATAAAAGGTGGTGCAAGTTATGTTTCTATCCATGTGTTAATAAGTTGGTATTGTTTGTAAAATGTATTTGATATTCATTCAATATTTATGATATTAAAGTGTGGCTGTAACTCAGCGTAGTAAACAAACACTAGTCCAGATTGTACATCCTGTTCATGCCTGTGACCATTCTGAAATTTGTCTTACATTTACTTACAAATTTGAAGTCATTATCAATACCATAACTACTGAAAATAGTCATGGTTCCATGATGACTAACACAAGTTAGATTCCATGACAACTGACTCAGGTCATGATTCCACGACAACTGACTCAGGTCATGATTCCATGACAATTCACTTAGGTGATTCCATGACAACGGTCTTTAGTCATGATTTCATAACAACATTCTACTTCAGCAATTACTAAATAAAACCAGGCCTTTAATGAAACCCAGAGAACAGTAATCACAAAATCAAAAGATGCCCACGTATTTGTATTTCATTTACTTATTGCCCATTAAAGGTTTTACTGCATGTCCTGTAATATTAAAAAGGACAAGTTCTTTGATGTAAACAGGCTTTCTACACTTTTGTCCAAAATAATTAAGATCTTTTGAGATATGACTTCAGCTGTTGAACTAAAATTGAGTACAGTTGACTTGTATTGGGCATCAGCTACAAACTAAGAGCCTAATGTTGTTATATGGTAAATGTTTGTGGTAAACAGCTGATTGAATATCATTGTGATGAACTTTATTGTACAACATAGATGTGAGATTCACACCATAAAGCTTGGGAGTAGAATCAGTTGTCTATTAATTAAATGTGCCATGTTATATTTTCAAGGATATTAAAAATTGTAAGGATACTATGAAAAACAGATACTGATCTGTGACTTTTGATACTGGAAAAAAATTCAGAAAGTTGTTTTCGAGGAAATCTAATTTCCCTATCTTCAAATTTGGAATTTGAATTACAAAAATTAAATACCCTGAAGATTATTAATATAGAAAATCATAGATCGCTTCAAGACTTAAATGAAAAAATTTGAACCGATGGAGAGAAAAAAGGAAAAGAAAGAAATTTCAGTATGTATAACTATAGAAACCAAAGGAAAAAGATAGATTTTTGAAAAACTTTTTGACTTTGGAATAAACGTCACGACTGTTTGGTTTTGACCACACATGCACCTGATGTTATGTCAAGCAAAATTTCCTTAGGTACATTGATGTGTTTTCTCCAACAGAAAAATACTTGCCTCATGCATGGTGTTAAAATGTTTAAGAAAGGGGGCCATTTTCTGGAGTAGATAAACAAGCTATCGGTATGTTTTGGCCACATATGTATTTGATGTATTGAGGGGTTTGTATGTATTGGTATATCTTCTATCATATGGGATGTTTATACACAGCATGTGTGGAAATGTTGTGTGGAGCTGACCATTAGGTGGAGGAAGCTGATTGGTTCTGACAGATAGGCTATAGGACTGCCAAGGTCTGTGCTAATACATGCTATTTCATGCATGCATGATAAGGTATACACATGTATATAAGAAGCTGTTATTTACCAGCCTGCCATCACCTGTGCTAGGCATCAGCCCTATCCTCCCACCATTCCCTACTTCTCATACACTTCTCATATTCACAACCTCTCCATTTTTCTCTCTCCAAGACAAGCTACTAGCCATTACCTCTGGACCGAAGGCTCCTAGATTCTTTTTATCATAGACTAACCTACCAACCCTTGCCTCAAGGCCACAGCCTCTTACACTGATTTTTTTTTATTAAAAACTAGCTACCAGCCTGTACCTTTAGGCCACAGCCTCTTACACTGATTTTTTTTTATTAAAAACTAGCTACCAGCCTGTACCTTTAGGCCACAGCCTCTTACACTGATTTTTTTTTTATTAAAAACTAGCTACCAGCCTGTACCTTTAGGCCACAGCCTCTTACAAAACTTTCCTGTCCAAGACTAGCTACCAACCTTACCTCTAAGCTAGATGATTATAAACATCCACATTATTTCTTCCCTGTACGCCTTTGAATTTCTCTAATGTAGCCATCTTCTATCTGTCCTTTATATATCCTGACAGAATACTTCTTTTCTTTCTTTGGTCCCTAGAAGCTGTTCAACCCAATGCCATGATAATCTTTCTTTTCATTATTATAATTTCCATTTTAGCCATGCTTACTTTTTCGTGTAATGTTTGTTTTTCTTCTCCATAGTAACCTTTCCCATGTACACTAACCTTATCCCCCTCCTATAGCTACCCTGGGTCTACCAATTTCTTCTTCCTTTGTCTTTTCTTCCACACCTGTGAATATCTTTAGTCTTATTAACTATGAAATACCCAAAGTATCTATCTTGTTATAAGCTCAAGGGCCAACACAGAAATTCTGACTCCATTTTCAGTGTGGTCATCTTGTTATAGTAGAAACAATCAGATAGCAGCTTTAAGATAAGGGTGGGCTAATTGTCAGATAAAGATACAGCATTCGACAGCGAGATAGCATTTATTGGTAAATTTATACGACAGCAATAAATATGAGTGTGCTTATTGCCAGGCATGGGTTTCCAGCCAAATGCAATTATATCATATAAATTTATTTGATACGAAAAAAATAATGAATTCTGTATATTTAGTTGAATCCCAGTGTTACAGTTCTTAGTCCTAAGTAGGTTGTATCCACTGTTTAAGAATCAGGGGTATTATATCGCTCCCAATGCCCTGTCATGTAAGTTGATTGCTAGTATAAATTAGTACCTGACTACTCTGAAAATATGTGACTATCACGGAAACATGTTATAAGTAACTAGTTACTAGTCCTTTTCACACTCCTCTCCAACATCAGAAGAGGAAAACTTGATAAATGTTACCTACTTATGTTGTTAACCTCTCTAAGAACTTCTCCATTAGCAGGTGTGACTCCACAAACAACACCCCATCAACTTAATTGCAAGATGTTTCTCTCTATACATAACAATTAATCCAGTTACCATATTTATCAAATGATGAGCCCTCTCCTTGTAAGATGTCCACCCATTTTAGCTTTTCAGTAAGAATATAATGATTTTTGTTGTCCTGTAACAAGCCCACCTTCTGACTTTATGTGAGAGTTCATCTGTTTGTTCCCTTGGCTTACTGCAGGTACAATATGCATGGGTTACTTGTTGGTGATACATGCCACTATCTTTTGTAATTTGTATATAGATGATATTGGCCTACTTGGATAGAAACAGGTATATATTGTGGGCCTTAATCAGGAGCTGATAACAGGCCCCTTTCCAATTGAACTTACTCATTTACAAGCCAGTTCCCCAAAATTTACAATTTACTTATGAAAATTTCCTTTCTAAATTTACTAATTTCTTCCCAAAATGAGGTAGAAATACCCCATTTCAAGCCAGTGAAAAAGCTATGCAACTCTGTGTAATATTGAATTTATAAAAATAATGGCAGGTTTCGATGATATTGCAGTAAAGATGAAGTTTTAACATTATTTTGAGGCAGTGTTGAATTTTGTATTTATGTGTGTATTTTATACCTGATTGTGCAATGATCTGAAAAACATCTGTAACCATTACAAGACTATATGACTACTAGAAAACATTCTTGAAAGCAAGTTCAAGAGTAAACTGTATGATTTCACAAATACAAAACATAATATGCATTGGTCCCTTTAAAGTTTTTACTGCAAGTGTTTGACATAATATACTGGAGTGGTTGTGGTGGAGTGTAATGGAAACATCTCAGCTATGTCTTCGCCCTGAATTGTTGGTAAAGATTAGCTTCAGCACCCTAAACAAACTAGTTTTTTTAGCTGTACACTTTTACCTTAGTGTCAGATGGTCTGCTTTTTTGTAATATTCAACGTTTGGAATCTGGGTGGTTGTCTGGCTAGAGTACACAAGAATGACTTTAATGACAGCTAGTGGTGCTGAAGGGTGTAGAAAATTTTGAATACTAATTGCTCACGTAAACCTTTCCATCACTCATTTGAAGAATTTGGCAACCAAATTTACCCCCTTCGCCATTCATACATAGAATGCGATATTCTACATATGGCGATTTAGAGTTGATTCCGCTCTGCTGGGGTGAAAACACTTCTCTACCTGTTGATTTCTCATTACCGACTGTTGTCAATTCTAACAATATGCATCAGATCATTCAGGGCAATAATGAGATGCTTAAGCTTCATCTGTCACTATTCCAGTCTCCCCTGGCAAAGAAATATCCTTCTACATAACAAAGCATTCATAAAGTCATTGTTGGAAGTTATTTTAAGTGCCACCATCCCTTTAGTAAAGTGTCTGCGGTCTGTATAGACAGTTAGCTGTATACTGTCGGACATTGAAGGATAACACATCTATGTCTAATTGCTTTTGTGTGTTAACTGTGTAATGTTCTTATTTATTTTCTTCTTTAACACTATAATGTTGCTATTATGTCTTGATTTGTTTACCTGTTTATAACAAACGATTGTTTTTCTGTGTTTCAGGTACGGTGGTTAGAACAACAAGTTGCTAAAAAAAGAAAAAGACGAAGTATATACTATCCCCATCAACTATTTAATGACCCAAAATGGCCTCGGATGTGGTACTTAGTAAGTTTTCCATTTTTTTCAAACTTTTCCCTGAACAGAGGCTCTGCCTTGTCCTACTATATACAGTAAAATCATTAATTTGGGTTAAAAATATAGGATTTAATGGTGTAAACATAGTTAACAAGATGCAGACTTAAAAAACTAACATGGGGTAAAAAATTCCATGTCTTCTCTGAACTGGTAAAAGAACATGAAAGATTTCCTAATTTCTCTGAAGGAAACACTGAAAACAAAATATAATGTTGTGATATGTGTTAGTAGCAAACCTTCCTGCCAAGATAGAGAGTGATTTATTATAACATTAACATGACTCTACAAAAATAGATGGATTAATCTTGAAACTACACCAAAATAGATAGATAGATGTAAGTTGATGTGGGACAAAATTTGCTCTAAAATTAAAATCATCATTATTTGTGGTGCAGATTATTAAAGTACATAATATGAATTAAAGTTGCACCAAATCAAAAGGGAAGACAACCTAACTACGACATAAGCTCCAGAAGAGTGATGTTTCACTCCATTTGTAAATTAATCTGACCTTTAAATAACTATTCAACTAAGGACAACAACACAATAGGGTAGCCTACTTCGATTGAAAGATAAAAAAAGGCTGTAACTTTATCACTATGTGTGGAGTGTGCCTCTTGTAATTTAAATTATCAGAGCAATCCATCAACAAAGTAAACATTAGATGTTGCAGGGGATGAAATGCCAATAGGCACATCAGACTGTTCTGGCAGAGATTTCAACTAGATTTGACAGAGACAGATAAAGGGTACTACGACTGAGTATTCTGCTCCAATGGTTAGGGTCTGGCTATGCTATTACTTGGTATTCAGTTTATAATGAATGGCTGTATGTATATTTTTATAGTCCTAGTAATGTGATGTGCGATATCTGAATGTTGATGGAGTGGCATTGACTAGTACTGGATTGATAAAGTAATGCATTAATACTAGTTATATCTGTGAGCTATTTGCAATGATAGGAATTCATAATAGGTAAAATGGTGATATTGCAGTTCATTTATTTCATTTCTATGAATTCACCATGATTTTAATCCTGTGTTTCAACATAAAAATGATCGGTCGTTATGGTTAATGTTAAATATTATCTGTTGTTAATTAGACTGGTGGTAGGTTAGACCTGCAGCTGCTGTGTAGGTGCTGATATCATTTTGTTTTGGTACAGGATAATTCAGACCTTCTATATGAAGCATTTTAAAACCTGCTTAGTAGTGGCATACATTTCTCCAGTTTGGTTTAGTGTTTGGAGTTTGAATAAATAAGAATATGGTATCCATTGATTTGATGAAAAATGTATAATTTCTCAAAGTTTGTAGATAAATGCCAAGTGCTCCATTCAGAAAAAAAGCAAAAAATTTTAACCGTTTGATTGACATGATCATCAGTTATTCAGGAACAATCAATAGCTGGAGGCAAGACCATTCAAATAATAAGATGTCTTGTTATTTTTAAAGATGTCCTTAGTTGTACTACCCTCATTTTGTCATCAAATAATACAGAGGAATGGTTAAGAAATTGAATCATGTGACTCTATAGAATCTCCAAGTGATTTGGTAGTGGTTTGAGGTTATACATACTGCAGAAACTGATTTTGGTTGATGATATTCTAGAGAAAAGTTATTGTGGTTGGAGTTCTAATTTCTGCCAGGAGACAGTGGTTATTGTTGGAGTTTTGATTTCTGTGCTGCCAGGAGACAGTGGCTATTGTTGGAGTTTTGATTTCTGTGCTGCCAGGAGACAGTGGCTATTGTTGGAGTTCTAATTTCTGCCAGGAGACAGTGGTTATTGTTGGAGTTTTGATTTCTGTGCTGCCAGGAGACAGTGGTTATCGTTGGAGTTTTGATTTCTGTGCTGCCAGGAGACAGTGGTTATTGTTGGAGTTTTGATTTCTGCCAGGAGACAGTGGTTATTGTTGGAGTTTTGATTTCTGTGCTGCCAGGAGACAGTGGTTATTGTTGGAGTTTTGATTTCTGCCAGGAGACAGTGGTTATTGTTGGAGTTTTGATTTCTGTGCTGCCAGGAGACAGTGGTTATTGTTGGAGTTCTGATTTCTGCCAGGAGACAGTGGTTATTGTTGGAGTTCTGATTTCTGCCAGGAGACAGTGGTTATTGTTGGAGTTTTGATTTCTGTGCTGCCAGGAGACAGTGGTTATTGTTGGAGTTTTGATTTCTGTGCTGCCAGGAGACAGTGGTTATTGTTGGAGTTTTGATTTCTGTGCTGCCAGGAGACAGTGGCTATTGTTGGAGTTTTGATTTCTTGCTGCCAGGAGACAGTGGTTATTGTTGGAGTTTTGATTTCTGTGCTGCCAGGAGACAGTGGTTATTGTTGGAGTTCTGATTTCTGCCAGGAGACAGTGGTTATTGTTGGAGTTTTGATTTCTGTGCTGCCAGGAGACAGTGGTTATTGTTGGAGTTTTGATTTCTGTGCTGCCAGGAGACAGTGGTTATTGTTGGAGTTTTGATTTCTGTGCTGCCAGGAGACAGTGGTTATTGTTGGAGTTTTGATTTCTGCCAGGAGACAGTGGTTATTGTTGGAGTTTTGATTTCTGTGCTGCCAGGAGACAGTGGTTATTGTTGGAGTTTTGATTTCTGTGCTGCCAGGAGACAGTGGTTATTGTTGGAGTTTTGATTTCTGCCAGGAGACAGTGGTTATTGTTGGAGTTTTGATTTCTGTGCTGCCAGGAGACAGTGGTTATTGTTGGAGTTTTGATTTCTGTGCTGCCAGGAGACAGTGGCTATTGTTGGAGTTTTGATTTCTGTGCTGCCAGGAGACAGTGGTTATTGTTGGAGTTTTGATTTCTGTGCTGCCAGGAGACAGTGGCTATTGTTGGAGTTTTGATTTCTGCCAGGAGACAATGATTGTTATTTGTGTCTTGGTGTCTGTGATACCATAGAAACAGTGATTGTTGTATTTGTGAATAAGATATCTTAGAGATAGTTGTGCTCAGGTTCTAATGTTTGTGATACCATGGAGACAGTAATTCTGGTTTTAGTTTTGGCGTCTTTGATATCATGGAGACATTCATCATTAATTGGGTTTTGCTGTCTATGACACCTTGGAGACATTGTTTGTGGTTTGAACTTTTGGTTCCTGTGAAACCATAGAGACTGTGATTTGACTTGGTTCCTGTGTTACCATGGTAACTGATCATGGTTTAGGTTTTGTTCATGTGAGAGTACCTATATAGAAGAAGTTACAGAAGATGTCTGTAATGGTCTGTAATTATATCTCCTAATCAGGTCCCCAGAGAAATAGGCCACTTGTAATATATAGCACACAATATTGTCTGTCAACTGTTTTACTCTTGATTAATCATTGTACATTAAATCAGCATCACTTTTGGGTGGAGCTCAATATCATTGATGATATCACAGTCATGAATGTTTGCACATCTGCACTAATGTTTAGTTTTCAAAAAGTTTTAGATGAATTGATTGATTCCTTTTAACACTGTGGGTTCAGAATTGCTTAAATGGAATCTTTGGAGAAGGTTTTATAGATGGGATTTGGTAAGGAAATTTTGCTCTGGGTCTTTTCCATCCCATTTTAGCATCACAATATTGTCATTGTCGTTAATGCATATCTTGTGTGAATTCTGACATTATAAATGTTATGACATGTAATAATGCACTGAAAAGTACAGCAGTTGTATGAAAATTGCATAAATTTACACCCATATGATAAATATGCCTCGTATATGAAAATGAATTGTATGATATATGAAATACCGTTTTTTAACCAGAAATTTAATTGCACACTGTCACAAGACACCTGCTGAATAATCTTTTATAATGATTATGCTTTTTATGATTAGGCAAACATTTTTGTCAGCAATATAGTTTTTGAAAAAATTAGTATTGTAGAACCAGATTACATGTCCCTTGATACCAGGATGAGTGGTGATGGGTAGTGGAACAAGTCTGTTAGTGATGACTGGGTAGTGGAACAAGCCTGTTAGTGATGACTGGGTAGTGGAACAAGCCTGTTAGTGATGACTGGGTAGTGGAACAAGCCTGTTAGTGATGACTGGGTAGTGGAACAAGCCTGTTAGTGATGACTGGGTAGTGGAACAAGCCTGTTAGTGATGACTGGTTAATGGTACAAATCGACTCGTGATGACTGGTTAGTGGTACAAACCGACTCGTGATGACTGGTTAGTGGTACAAACCGACTCGTGATGACTGGTTAGTGGTACAAACCGACTCGTGATGAATGGTTAGTGGTACAAACTGACTCGTGATGACTGGTTAGTGGTACAAACCGACTCGTGATGACTGGTTAGTGGTACAAACCGACTCGTGATGACTGGTTAGAGGGACAAACAACCTAGTGGCAACTGGAGAGTGGGACAAACATATAAGTGGTAATTGGTTAGTTGGACAAAACGACATAGTGATATTTAGGTATGGTGACAAACAGACTAGTAATGACTGGATAGTGGAACAAACAGGCCATTGGTGACTGGATAGTGGAACAAACAGGCCATTGGTGACTGGATAGTGGAACAAACAGGCCATTGGTGACTGGATAGTGGAACAAACAGGCCATTGGTGGCTGGATAGTGGAACAAACAGGCCATTGGTGACTGGATAGTGGAACAAACAGGCCATTGGTGGCTGGATAGTGGAACAAACAGGCCATTGGTGACTGGATAGTGGAACAAACAGGCCATTGGTGACTGGATAGTGGACAAACAGGCCATTGGTGACTGGATAGTGGAACAAACAGGCCATTGGTGACTGGTTAGTGGACAAACAGGCCATTGGTGACTGGATAGTGGAACAAACAGGCCATTGGTGACTGGTTAGTGGACAAACAGGCCATTGGTGACTGGATAGTGGGCAAATAGACTAGTGGAAATGGTATAGAGCAATACACAAATAAGTGGTGTGTCATTGAGTGTGATAAAATTGATTAGTAGTGACTGGATATATAGACAAATGACTGGTTTGTAGGTAGATAGACAAACA